CAACAGACATCACGTGTTTAGATACCAGGGGTGGAATGATTAACCGTTGAGTCTTAAGCTCATGATACGTGCAACGAATCACTCGTGTATGGTATCAACAATCAAGGGTATTTCCCTGTCCCCAGACGACCTGCTTGTCAGTTTTGATGTAGTTTCCTTATTCACCAAGGTTCCTGTACCTGACACCATTGCAATCATTGAAGACTTGGTTCATCAAGGACTAAACACTGAGGTACCCCCCCTGGTGAGACACTGTTTAACCAATACATACTTCACTTGGAATGGAACTTTCTACAAACAAACTGAGGGCACCCCAATGGGCTCCCCCCTTTCTCCAGTTATAGCTAACATTTTCATGGAGAAATTTGAGACTGACGCCATCCAGACTGCCACTCTGCGCCCAACCTTATGGAAGAGGTACGTGGATGACACTTTTGTCATCTGGCCACATGGCCGGCCTGCTCTAGACCAATTCTTCGACCACATCAATTCCATACACCCAGCCATCAGATTTACCATGGAAGTCGAAATAGATGGCAAGATACCTTTTTTGGATGTCCTAATTAAAAAGAGACCTGATGGTTCAATGAGCCACTCTGTCTACAGGAAAGCTACCCATACGGATGCTTATCTGAAACCGGATTCCCACCACCATCCATCACAGAAGAATTCTCTCATCAAGACTCTGTATCATAGAGCCCAATGCATATCCGACCAGGAACACATAAGCAGTGAACTCAAGCACGTACACCAAGCTCTTAGGGCTAATGGTTACTCCGACTATACAATCCGCAAAGCTATCACTCAAACCATGAAGAAGAACCCTCTTGAGGAGCCTTTCAAAACCATCACTTTACCCTACATTGCTGGGATCACAAAAAAGATCTCCAAAATCTTGAATAAACACAAGATCCAGGTCCGTTTCAACACATTACATAAAATCCGTGATCTGGTTCCGTCTGTAAAAGATGTGATTCCGGACATACAATACCCTGGTGTCTACAAACTAAGTTGCCTCTGTGGTAGTAGTTACATTGGAGAAACCAAACGCCATATCTCGGACCGCATTCGTGAACATAAAGCAGACCTTAAACACGGTAGGACCAACACCTCGGCCGTAGCAGATCATTGTTCTAATTCAGTAGGCTCACATGCCATTGACTTTTCCAAGACGGAGGTTCTTTGTAAGCCATCTGGCTTCCATGAGAGATTCGTTCATGAGGCTATCCACATATACAAGCACAGAGACAATTTCAACCGAGAAGATGGATTCTATCTTAGCAATCATTGGAAAGATTTGATAAATCATTTCAGTTCTTGATTGATTGTTCACGCTTACAGTGGCTTTCAGACAGCATACATAAAAACAAATTTCGTCTCCCCCCTCCTCTTTTCAAAAAATAGATGGACTAGTCCTGGGCAAACTGCCAATCGCTGCGCGTGACGCAAACGTTATTTTTTTTATATAAATAAATAAATAAATATGCCGTTTTCAAAATAAATTTATGCAAACCGACACACCTGATGATGACCGTTTGAGTTATGGTCGAAACGTCGTGAGAATTTTTTATTGTTTTATATATATTTTGTTATTTTGTTGTTTCTCTTCAACGTGACTTTACCGAAAAAACTAAGAATATGAATTACTGCAGTCACGAAAGCTTTAAATCAAAATTTAAGCTGGTTGTAATTACCAGCGAAACGTCGTACTCAAATTGTAAATGTTGTGCCTTTAATCTCCAACACACCGGTGTGCTGAAGTAGTAACTAATTGGCACGTTTTGTTTACGTGACAAACCTTACTAATTGGCTGTGTCAGATGGTGTTGGCTAAACAACACATGCAATGTACAGATGGAAAAGGTGGAGTCCATGTTTTTCTTGTCGCGCCTTCTCCTGGCAAGCCAGGGTATAGCAGCACCTCGACGCCCACAGTCAGGGAGTTCCGTAACATCTGTGTGCGGTCCACCAACCCTCGCTGCCTCCACAGTGCTGGAATACAGCAATGTATGGCCACCATCGGCAGGCTAATTTCTTGGATTACGAGAATTTCATAACCAATTATACCACTATTGTGCTTTTTGAGGCACACACAATATTTTGGGTAGACATATTTAAATGTCTACCCAAAATATTGTACCTTTATTAAGTAAAAATGTAATATATATTTATTTTCCAGTTTTGCTCCAGAATGATATAATTCTGGGTTTTGGTATTGATAACAGCTGGTTGGTTATTTTTCTTTTGGTGGTTATCTTTTGAATAGTTTTTGTGAAAATATTACAAGAGTCTACGGCGCACTGAGAGATGAAATATTCCCAAGCATAGCAAAAAGCAACCAGTCGGATCTCTCAAAACAAATCAAAACTGAATTTCCCACAGTCAGGCTCAATGTTTTTCCCCACACTTACTGGCATAGTGTTTTTGACTCAGCTGACCGGAAACTGTGAATGACAGAACCAATACATAGTTAACAAGGCAGGAGTGATCAAGCACGTAAAAAAACGGCAGTGTTTGTGTTTATGCTGATACGGAGTTGTACGAAGCGCACATTATAAACAAACCGAGACAGCATTGAAGGTGCGACCAACAGACATCACGTGTTTAGATACCAGGGGTGGAATGATTAACCGTTGAGTCTTAAGCTCACGATACGTGCAACGAATCACTCGTGTATGGTATCAACAATCAAGGGTATTTCCCTGTCCCCAGACGACCTGCTTGTCAGTTTTGATGTAGTTTCCTTATTCACCAAGGTTCCTGTACCTGACACCATTGCAATCATTGAAGACTTGGTTCATCAAGGACTAAACACTGAGGTACCCCCCCTGGTGAGACACTGTTTAACCAATACATACTTCACTTGGAATGGAACTTTCTACAAACAAACTGAGGGCACCCCAATGGGCTCCCCCCTTTCTCCAGTTATAGCTAACATTTTCATGGAGAAATTTGAGACTGACGCCATCCAGACTGCCACTCTGCGCCCAACCTTATGGAAGAGGTACGTGGATGACACTTTTGTCATCTGGCCACATGGCCGGCCTGCTCTAGACCAATTCTTCGACCACATCAATTCCATACACCCAGCCATCAGATTTACCATGGAAGTCGAAATAGATGGCAAGATACCTTTTTTGGATGTCCTAATTAAAAAGAGACCTGATGGTTCAATGAGCCACTCTGTCTACAGGAAAGCTACCCATACGGATGCTTATCTGAAACCGGATTCCCACCACCATCCATCACAGAAGAATTCTCTCATCAAGACTCTGTATCATAGAGCCCAATGCATATCCGACCAGGAACACATAAGCAGTGAACTCAAGCACGTACACCAAGCTCTTAGGGCTAATGGTTACTCCGACTATACAATCCGCAAAGCTATCACTCAAACCATGAAGAAGAACCCTCTTGAGGAGCCTTTCAAAACAATCACTTTACCCTACATTGCTGGGATCACAAAAAAGATCTCCAAAATCTTGAATAAACACAAGATCCAGGTCCGTTTCAACACATTACATAAAATCCGTGATCTGGTTCCGTCTGTAAAAGATGTGATTCCGGACATACAATACCCTGGTGTCTACAAACTAAGTTGCCTCTGTGGTAGTAGTTACATTGGAGAAACCAAACGCCATATCTCGGACCGCATTCGTGAACATAAAGCAGACCTTAAACACGGTAGGACCAACACCTCGGCCGTAGCAGATCATTGTTCTAATTCAGTAGGCTCACATGCCATTGACTTTTCCAAGACGGAGGTTCTTTGTAAGCCATCTGGCTTCCATGAGAGATTCGTTCATGAGGCTATCCACATATACAAGCACAGAGACAATTTCAACCGAGAAGATGGATTCTATCTTAGCAATCATTGGAAAGATTTGATAAATCATTTCAGTTCTTGATTGATTGTTCACGCTTACAGTGGCTTTCAGACAGCATACATAAAAACAAATTTCGTCTCCCCCCTCCTCTTTTCAAAAAATAGATGGACTAGTCCTGGGCAAACTGCCAATCGCTGCGCGTGACGCAAACGTGATTTTTTTTTTATATATAAATAAATAAGTATGCCGTTTTCAAAATAAATTTATGCAAACCGACACACCTGATGATGACCGTTTGAGTTATGGTCGAAACGTCGTGAGAATTTTTTATTGTTTTATATATATTTTGTTATTTTGTTGTTTCTCTTCAACGTGACTTTACCGAAAAAACTAAGAATATGAATTACTGCAGTCACGAAAGCTTTAAATCAAAATTTAAGCTGGTTGTAATTACCAGCGAAACGTCGTACTCAAATTGTAAATGGTGTGCCTTTACTCTCCAACACACCGGTGTGCTGAAGTAGTAACTAATTGGCACGTTTTGTTTACGTGACAAACCTTACTAATTGTCTGTGTCAGATGGTGTTGGCTTAACAACACATGCAATGTACAGGTGGAAAAGGTGGAGAACATATTTTTCTTGTCGCGCCTTCTCCTGGCAAGCCAGGGTATAGCAGCACCTCGACGCCCACAGTCAGGGAGTTCCGTAACATCTGTGTGCGGTCCACCAACCCTCGCTGCCTCCACAGTGCTGGAATACAGCAATGTATGGCCACCATCGGCAGGCTAATTTCTTGGATTACGAGAATTTCATAACCAATTATACCACTATTGTGCTTTTTGAGGCACACACAATATTTTTGGTAGACATATTTAAATGTCTACCCAAAATAGTGTACCTTTATTAAGTAAAAATTACTTTAATATATATTTATTTTCCAGTTTTGCCCCAGAATGATATAATTCTGGGTTTTGGTATTGATAACAGCTGGGTGGTTAGTTTTCTTTTTGGGGTTATCTTTTGAATAGTTTTTGTGAAAATATTACAAGAGTCTACGGCGCACTGAGAGATGAAATATTCCCAAGCATAGCAAAAAGCAACCAGTCGGATCTCTCAAAACAAATCAAAACTGAATTTCCCACAGTCAGGCTCAATGTTTGTCCCCACACTTACTGGCATAGTGTTTTTGACTCAGCTGACCGGAAACTGTGAATGACAGAACCAATACATAGTTAACAAGGCAGGAGTGATCAAGCACATAAAAAACGGCAGTGTTTGTGTTTATGCTGATACGGAGTTGTACGAAGCGCACATTCATAAACAAACCGAGACAGCATTGAAGGTGCGACCAACAGACATCACGTGTTTAGATACCAGGGGTGGAATGATTAACCGTTGAGTCTTAAGCTCACGATACGTGCAACGAATCACTCGTGTATGAGCCCATGGTGTATCCCTTTCGATTTACATTGAGTCACGGGTTCACGTGACTCTTGAAACCACGAGTTGCCACGAACATGACTGCAATTATCAAATAAATATTTAATAAATATTTTATAATTCTCGTTGGGCCAGGAAATCCTCAACAATGTTAAGACTTTTCCGGAGAGTTATGCCATATTTTTACGGAAGAGGGTGATCTTGCTTTGAGAAATCCAAATTGTTTATTTTGCAGATAATTGATCAGCATTCGGGTGTTTGGCCAATACCAGTAATGTTTTTTTTTGCTATGGGAGGACATTAGGGACCTGGGCAGAAACCCATGCAGAACAGGCGTAGAACAAACTGCGCGCAGAGAGGTGCACATGTTGGGAATCAAACTCAGGTCTTGCTGTAATGCTCAACTAAACTACTAAAACTATGTTTTATTTCACCAGGTAAAGCCCACCGACCTATGTCGCTCTTTTTCAGAAGCGACCTGACCACAAGTGATGGCCCAATGAAGTGGCGTATCACGTGGACATTTATAGCAGCCGAATACTCTAAACGCGTGATGTTGATTCTAAATGTGAAGGGGAAAACTGGAGGACCTGGAGAAAATCCGCACGACCGCAGGAAGAGACATGCAAACTCCAAATATAAAAGCATTAGGGTAGGGATCGAACCCTCGACCTCCTGTATACCCGGCGAGGTAGTTAACATCTCGCCACCAATTGTGTCATTGAATCGTTCCACATTGTCATGGAGGGTGGGGAGGTATTCAAATGTATTAATGGCATTACTGTATTTGTATTAAATTAACCGATTTGCTATCCACGATGTTCGCCGTCATTACTTTGAATGCATGTTTTAATTCGTAGCGATCTAGGCCCTGATTACTTTCATGTAGTCAAACTTTTCGTTCAAGTTAACCGTCACAACACCCACTATATGCGTGCAATTTTCAGTCTTTAGCGTGAGTAGCAACACTCACGGCTGACCGTCTCTTCTCTCACACAAATACAGTAGGCCTGTATATTTCAGAGTTCAACGTTGTCGATGTTAGGATTTGTAAAACAAATTGACGATCTTTTTTTTACTTTCAGATCATTGATTTGAGGTAATTACGTAGTACCTTTGTGCTTACAAAAGTGACGTCACACGATGCAGGTTTCTTTTACAGGCCAGTAAATGACACAAACATTTCATTTCCACTTACGTATTTATCAACTAAAAGTGTCAAAAAAAGAGTAAGATCATCCAAAATATAGCTAGGGCCGTTTTTGGATATTCAAATCAATCTGACAATGGGCAACAAAGACAAAGATCCCCCGCATAGCCTTAACAGACTGTTCGGGCAAGCGCTGTTAGCGAGTAGCACCTATGAAGGCCGGCACGGCACATCAGATGGTGTGTCGCCAGCACCACGCCCGACCACCTTTGTCTTCCCAGTGGCGATGTTTACACACCCAAGGTCGACTCATCTGAGGCTGAGTCGACCTAGGGGAGACCCAGGACCAGCTCAGATAACCGCCACTGGTGTTGGCTGTGAGCTAGAATCAAACTCTGGTCGCCGGGTTCGTAGCGCAGTGCGCTATCCGCTACGCTACCGCTCCCCACACAATGGGCAACACCGATAGCAACACCCGCCATTCGCCACTAAGTGGCGGTGACGTCACCAGGGCGCCTGTGCCAGGCCAGGTGCACTGAGGCCACGTGACGTGTCGAAGGCCCGCCGACAAGAGGTCTCGGGACAGACCTAGGTGCCATGGGCTGGCTGACTTGAGACGACTGGTAGATGCACCAGCTGTACTCCCTGCTGTGCCAATGGTCAATACACCCACGAGCACACACACATTATACCCCTTTGTTCGGTACACTGTCTTCATATGCTCTTGCATTGCTACACGTAGATCGCTTTTTTGTCTCAATCCACTGATGGATGAGGGTTTCCCCATGCCGTACTCGTCATGGAGGTTATTTCACCATGCTGGTCGTTGTGGGTTGGAGTCAGTGGTGGGGGCTGGACATTGGAGCATAGGAGATCAGTACAACGATGGATTTTTGCGGTGCTGCGTTTGGCTAACAACAGCCTGGTTGAATTTAGATGCTCATGAATATGAAATTGCAAATTGCAAGGTATATATATCAGAAACTTGCACGGATGTTTCAACTGCCATGACGGAGAACGATATTTTTTATTTTACTATTTTTTTTACCAGGTAAGGCCCACTGAGCTAAATAGCTATTTTTCAGAAGCGACCTGGCCACAAATGATAGCTCAACGAAGCAGCTTACCAAGTGGAAATGTATAGCAGCCAAATACTCTCAACGCATGTCTCTAAATATGGAGGGAAAAACCGGAGGACCCGGAGAAAAATCCATGCGACTACGGGGAGAGAGAGAGAGACATGCGAACTCCAAATATACACGTAGGCTTTCGCGACCATTATATACAGTCGTTAGGGTCAGGATCGAACCCACAACCTCCTTCATACCAGGCGAGGGAGTTAACAGGGGACCACGAGATTGCAAGTTATATAGTGTACAAACCATTACACCGTAGCATCACGCTGCTCATTTGTTAGACAACATATTCAGGTGTTGGATTTGTTTTCTCTCCAAAAATCCTGGAAAACTGTGGAGCAAAGTATCGGTTTGTTTGCGTTCTCTTGAGCTAGGCTGCTGAAACGACTTCTGCCGAGAGCGTGCGAGTCAGCCCGCTGACATGCCCCTCGAGTCCGAATGCACGTACCGTCTCCAATTCTGTTGTTCATCTCCACAAACTTGGAGCCCATGGTTTGCTCCACCTGCTCGTACAAATCTACAAGACGGTGAACAACACGCACGCACGCACGGACACAGAGCGTTCCAGTTAACACGGCCAGCCTTTTCCGAATCCACAAGACGGTGAACAACACAGACGCACCGACAAAGAGCGCGCACTCACAGAGAGACAGTTATAGAGAAACAGAATGACGGGCTCATAGAGACACAGAGAGACACGGAGACAGAAAGACAAGAGACTCACAGAGAGACAGTTACAGAGAAACAGAATGACGGGCTCATAGAGACACAGAGAGACACGGAGACAGAAAGACAAGAGACTCACAGAGAGACAGTTACAGAGAGACATGGAGAGACAGACACGCACAGCGACTGACAGAGAGACAGTTATAAAGACACAAACAGATGGGCTCATAGAGACACGGAGAGAGAGACATGGAGATACAGACACACACACAGACACTCACAGAGAGACATTTATAGAGAGACACACAAACAGATGGGCTCATAGAGACACAGAGAGAGACATGGAGATACAGACACATACACAGACACTCAAGCAGAAACAGTTATAGAGAGACACACAAACAGATGGACTCATAGAGACACAGAGAGAGAGACAGACACACAGAGACTCACTGAACAACAGTTATAGAGAGACGGGCTCATAGAGACAGAGAGGCATGGAGATACAGACACACAGACACTCAAGCAGAAACAGTTATAGAGAGACACACAAACAGATGGGCTCATAGAGACACAGAGAGAGAGAGAGACATGGATACACGCAGATAAGTGTACATACATAGAGACAGGCACAGAGATAGAGACGCATGATGTACGCAGGATGAGACAATCAAATGCAAAGAGACAAAGGACGAATGCATGGTAATTATACCTCTGTGCATTTATATTGAATGCCTCTCACCTACGTCTTATATTTCTCTAATTATCGTATTTTCCCGCATATAGCCCGCATACGCATATACCCCGCACAAATAACGTTTTGTGTAAAACAAATTTCAGATAGCCCGCACCTCCATATACCTCGCAGGGTCTTGTTTTGTTTGTAAAAAGTGATATACCCCGCGGGTTATATGCGGGAAAATACGGTGCTGCCTCTAATTCCTATCGTTCTTTCATACCTCGCTACAAATGTAAATAATCTTATAACTCTCTTGATGACTGTATCTCTCTTCTCTTCGAAATTAACATCTCTCCAAATTTTCTCATAATATATAAATGTAATCACCCAAGCGAGTCGGCGCATGGAACATCTAAGAGACCGGGGTGTGGAGCCAGCAGAGGGCAGGAGTAGGGGCACGGTGACTGTGCATCTGTGAAAAAGAGCTTCATAGCTCATCGGATTCCTCCAGTATAAATAAATATTCCGATCCTGTATGCAGGAAATAGCAGGGGAGGGACGAGGTCACTCGAGGCCGTGAGCGGTGGAGCCGAGCTAAACGATCTCCGGCGGACAGTCGGTGGATGAGAGGGGAATGGAAAGCCCTGGGGGGGGGGGGTGCGAATGGCCACAGGGGGCCGGTGGATGTGCAGACGACAGGGGGCAGCGTGATGGGTGTTAGCGCGAGGACACGGCCAGTGTAGGAATACAACAGGGGGAAGGGACGGGGGGAGTGGCGTGGAGGCGAGAGGGCGGTGCGAGGGGAGAGAAGAGGCAGGACCAACGGAGGGGGAAGAGCGAGCGGGGAGAAGGAAAGGGGCCGTCCATAAATGACGTCACGCGATTTTGGACGATTGACCCCCCCCACCACCCCCCCGTCATCACACGACGTCTCAAAAAGTCAGACCCCCCCCCTCAAATATGACGTCACAAAGCTCTGCCCCCCCCCCAAAATAAAACATGCTTCAAATCGCTTTGAACTATTGTCATTGTAGTGCGTATTTAATGTGGCGCTGCACTCTGATGTTGCAGGAGAAAACGTTTATTAAAAAGTCTATTTAATTAAGTAGAACGTGTTGTCTATATTTATTTAAAGTTGCGCAATTTGATGTGACGTCACATTTCTCAACCCCCCCCCCTCTTCGTCACAAATGTCTGACCCCCCCCCAGGTGCGTGACGTCATTTATGGACGGCCCCAAATGTAAAACTATTTTTTATTTTGTCAGGCAAGGCCCAATGAGCTACGCAGCTTATCTTCAGAAGCGGACCTGGCCACAAGTGATAGCTCAACGGAGTGTACTTATCGCGTGGACACTTCTCTCAGCCAAATACTCGGAAGCACGTTTCTCAACGTGGAGGTAAAAAGAGAAACATCCACGCGGCCACAGGGAGCGAGAGAGAGAGACGCAAACTCCAAATATACAGCAGACGTTAGAGTCGGGATCGAACCCCCGACCTCCTGCATGAGCCGCCCGGGCAGCGGGCGGCGTTTACAGGGGAGGCCTCCTGGGGCGAAGGGGGAGGGCAGGGGGACAGCCACACGGCCGAGAGGCCACGTGGACGGAGAGGAGAGTTGGTGGCAGTGACTGGGCGGTGTGTGCGGAGTTTAATGTTCAGTGTTAGGCTCCACAGTGATGGTGGTGATGCACGCCACTCATTCACGAATCGTTGTGGAGTTGTCACGAAAGCCGCGCCGAGTTGAAAGATAAGTCTTCGAGTCGTCCCTGATTGTTGCGGTGGGCATTGCATATATTCTGAAACGCATCTTCATCCTCCAATGTCTTCTGAATACATCTCATCTCTATTCTGTTTCACGTCCAGATCATCTGAATACATCTTACATTCCTCTTCTGTCTAACACATGCATTGCATACAGATCTGGACTAAATTACATTTTTAACACATCCACTATCTCGAGCATACATTTCCATCATCTCTCAGATACGTGTCTTACAGCTTTATTGCAGACATCTCAGACACGTGTGTGTGTACATATATATACTCATAATAGAGGTTTTGGGGTATATCGTGTAAATATAAATACGGCGTTCAACCCGCCACCACCCGATACAGCCAATTAGTAAGGGGTTGTCACGTAAACAGAACGTGGCCAATTCGTGACTAGTATAGCACACCGGTGTGTTGGAGAGTAAACCCACAACATTGACAAACCTTGATAATTGGCTGTGTCGGGTGGTGGCGGGTTTAACGACACATTTATATTCACACGATCTAACCCAAAAACCTCTACTATGGATGATATTGGTCGCAAAAGCCTCCTACGTGTTAAACTGATGAAATATTTACTCTTTGCACCGCATGCCTCTCGGCCTGTCAGTTGATGTGACGTGCCGAGACACAGGCTGCCCTCGTACTGCACCTCGGTGAGGAAACGAGCGCGTTGCGGTGGCTAGGAGATGTTAACTCCCTCGCCTGGTATGCAGGAGGTTGTCAGTTCAATCCCGAACCCTGACACCTGTATATTTGGAGCATACGTGACGCTCTCCCCGTGGTCGCGTGGATTTTTTTCCGGATCCTCCGGTTTTTCCCTCCACATTTAGAATCAACATCACGCGCTTAGAATATTTTGGCTGCTATAAATTTCCCCGTGATAAGGCACTGTGTTGAGCTATCACTTGTGCTAGCCAGGTTGCTTCTGAAAAATAACTATATTGCTCAGTGGTCCTCAGTTGGTAAATACAAAGAGTAAAAAAATGAAATTAAAGTAAAAAGGGTGACTCACAGATCAAGCGCTTGGAATGTTCTCCCAGCAGCTTGGAGATAATATTCTGCACGCCCTTGTACGTCTTCGTGCGAATGAAGGGCCTGTCGATCTCCATCCTGTTCAGCAGCGCTTTCAGGGGCACCGCGATGGCTTCCGTGCACTTGAAGCACGGCTCGCACGGGCGGGCGACGAGCAGCAGCAGCAGCAGCGTTGGCAGCACTGCGGTCACGAGGCACGAGGAGCGCTGGGGAGCCATGGCCTGGGGAGCGAGAGAAGGGGTCACGTTTAGGACTCGACCTTTACTCGTTGTGCCAGTGAAGCAGGCACCCAATAACGTGGGCCATTTTGGAAATACAGGGGCTCCTCTACTTACGAACGAGTCAGAATCCAGAGGTGTGTTCGTAAGTTGATTTGTTCCTAAGTCCAACTTACTCCTGTCGGTTCCGAACATTTTGTACGACATGTACACTAAATAAGAGAATGGCTTTAAAAGTTGTATAATCTCCTATAAACATAGATGCCACTGGTTCTTCAAGTTCTGCAGATGCCATCAATGCCATCTATTGCGCGGCGGTTTAACTTACGACTTTCGGTCCGAACAGGCAAACTGGACGTACAGACAGGTTTGTTCGTATCTCTAAGTCGAATTTTCCTCAGTAGAGGAGTCCCTGTAGAACTTTATGGCCATAAAAGATGTAAAGCGCTTGCGTTACGGTAAACAAGATTGCTAAATTTGGTAATCAAAGCCAAAACATCACCAAATGCAGTTACGTGGCGTGTTTACGTTATCGCGCCACGATTCGTAGTTCACGTAAAAAGACTAGAACCAATACGACCAGTTATAAATAACAGTGGAGCGTTGGCATTGGGCAAGGGTCCGTGGTGGTGCTGGTGGTATTAAACCAGTATAGGGAAGGAGATGAATCTTAGAAAGAGGGTGGGCACTCAAAACAATAACAGCGTGCACGCCCCCATCAAACCAAATCCGTCACTGGCAGCAAGGCGAGGAATGGAAATGTACTCTTTGGTTTTATTCGGTAAAGTCACGTAGGTAAAACAAATTAAAATAAAATAAACAATAAAAACACGACGTTTCAGAGGCAGCGCAAGCTTCAATTTATTTTAATTTGTTTTACCTACGTGACTTTACCGAATATAACCAAAGAGTATGAATCCTTGCAGTCACGAAAGCTTCAAATCTAGAATGGAAATGTCTCAGTGAGGAGAACGACTCCCCAATGAGAGGCCTCGCAGAAGCTAAACCGTGCAGCAGGAGCAGCAACAGCAGCAGGTACACCATCAGCATGAGCAGCAGCAGGAGCAGCAGCAGAAGCAGCACCAGGAACAGCATGAGCAGTAGCAGAAGCAGGGGCAGCACCAGCATGAACAGCAGCAGGAGCAGCAGTAGTAGCAGCAGCAGCAGGTGGAGCAGCAGAAACAGCAGGAGGCGGAGCAGCAGCAGTAACAGCAGCAGCAGGTGGAGCAGCAGCAGAAGCAGGGGCAGCATCAGCATGAGCAGCAGCAGGAGCAGTAGCAGCAGCAGGTGGAGCAGCAGCAACAGCAGCAGGCAGAGCAGCAGGAGTAACAGCAGCAGTAACAGCAGCAGGAGTAGATAGAGTGCTTCCATGCTCACGGCCCTGAACTCCTCCTCTGTGCAGGCGCGAGGCGTGCCGCACATTCCACATTCCCCAGCCTCTCTGCCCGTTACCACAGCTATCGATGTCCAAATGACGAGCCACTTTGTTGAGCTATCATTTGTGCTAGCCATGGCGCTTCTGAACAATAAGTTAATAGCTTCGTGGGCTTTGCCTGGTAGGATGGGGATGGTTTAGTTTAATTTGTATGATTTGGGTGATTGTTTGCTTTACCTGTACTTTGCCCCTGCTGGACATCTTTGGAAAAGAGCTTCATAACTCATCGGATTCCTCCAGTAAAAAGAAAGATTCTGACTTTAGTTAGTAATTATAAGGTTACCAAGATCGCATTTTTCACGATACGATGCGAGAATTTTCACGATCTTATTGACTATCGCGATAATTTTCCCGTAACTTTGCATTTGTCTTTCCCACATTCTATCATGATTGTGCTTTGCTGGACTTAACACTCCGAATAATGTGCTTTGGCAGTTGTTCAAAGGCAGCTCACCCAAGACAAAGCAGCCACGCCTCTTATAATCGTTGCACCTTCAAATTACAGTCTATCGTTGTCACAACGCGCTTGTCTCTCCAATCAGTTCGCATGTCAACCACGAACGGGACCAGAGTGAGCCCTGCCTCGAGATCGTCGTCGTAAGCGCGGGTCACGTGACCCCCGTTCTCTGCGCGCCACCCAACCAGCGATGATTATTCTATGTGCTATGATTATGCTATGTGCTATGAATACTCTACGTGCTATGATTATTCTACGTGTTATGATGTGCTATGATTACTTTGCGCCCTATAATGATTGAATGTGCTATGATTATTGTACGTACTATGATTGCTCTACATGCTATTATTATTTATACACTATGATTATTCTACGTGTTGTAGATTACTCTACGTGCTATTATTAGCCTATTATGATTATTCTACGTGCTATGATTACCCTACGTGCTATGATTACTCTACTATGATTATTCTATGTGCTATGATTACTCTAGGTGCTATGATTATGTCTGTAATATCAAGGAGGCTCTTTCCCCGAGTCACTCACTACAAACCCAGTGTAGTAGTAGTACAAGTAGGGTCGCTTACCGCTTTTTCTTTCCAAAACGGGACTTCTCTCCAACAGTGGTGACGAGGTATTGTTGTTGTATCCCTCCCGTTGTGTTCTAACACCAATTAAGTTTTGCCTCTCCAATCAATTCGCACGTCAACCACGAACGGGACCAGAGTTGAGGCCTGCCTGGACACAGCCTGGAGATCCGTCGTCGTGAGCGCGCGAGTTGGTTGTCGTGACGACGGGTGACGTAACTGAGTCACGTGGCCCGTTCTCCCAGTTCCGGGTCACGTGGCTCGTTCTCCGAGTCCCGGGTCACGTGGCTCGTGTTCCGTGTGCTCGTGCGAGCCATCCAACCAGAGACGCTGCCGCGTGCACCTCGTGCTCGGCTGTGATTTGAATTCGTTAGAGACCCCCACCGGTGCCCTATATAGGCGTGCGATGATGGTGCATGCGTGATGTTGGTCGTATTGGCGGTTGTTGCTGTAGTTGGTGGTAGTTGACGATGAAAGATACTGTTATCGGTTTGTGGTGGTTGTTTTATTGGTAGTGGTTGTTGGTGTTGACTGGTGGTTGTTTTATTGGTAGTGGTTGTTGGTGTTGACTGGTGGTTGTCATTGTGTTGGATGTGGTTGTTTTATTGGTGGTATATGGTGGTGGTTGTTGTGTTGATGGTGGTTGTTTTATTGGTGGTAGATGGTGGTGGTTGTTGTGTTGATGGTGGTTGTTTTATTGGTGGTTGTTGGTGTTTTGTTATTGTTCGTGGTAGTGGTTGACGTTATAGGTAGCAGTGGTTGATATCTGTTGGTGGTGATGGTTATAGATGTAATTGTTGTTGGCGACCATTGATGGTTGTTGTGGTTAGTGGTGGTTGTTGACATTGGTAGTGGTTGTTGGTAATGATTACAGTTGTTGGTGATTAAAAGCGACTTAGGTTTATAGCTGGTGGCTGTTAGTGCTGTTGTGGTAGTTTGTGCTGATGGTGGTTGCTGTTGAGGTGGTTGTTGTTGATGGTCATTGATAGTTGTTGTTGTGGTTACTGTCGACTCAGTCTCAAACGAGTTCCTGGTGCAGTGTGTAAACATCGTCACTAGAAAGACAAAGGCGTCCGGGCGTGGTGCTTGCCACACCCACCCCCTCGCGTGCCGTGCCGGCCTTCATAGGTGCTCGCTTGTAGCACTTGCCTCTAAAGTATGCTAAGGCTACACGGGGGAACTTTGTCTTTGACAGACCAGGTGAGAGCGGCGGAACACACGCAATGCCGCACATGAGGCCACAGGACAACTTGTCATCATCATCATCATTGTTGTTGTTGTAACAAGGCGAGAGTTTCCCAAACGTTGAACGCAGAATGTCTCATCATTCATTGGTCTTTGTGATCAATCGCACGTGCCACTCTCATGCTGACATGGCCAGCTTGTGTGATGGCACACCTGAATTATAGGAATATACGTGAACACACACTTGGTGATCGCCTAAGAAATAATTAACTTTTTTTTTTAAACCGAAACAAAATCGAGTTGTGTCATTTGAGTAATCTGATAGATTCCCCGGGGTCCTGCCACTGCGCTGTTGTGGCTGTCTGCCGTTAGTGAAAAACAGAATACATTAGTAACGTCTCCTTTTTACAGCTGCGTACCCCACTGTAAAAGTAATGTTTAAAAAAAACGTTTTTTTTTAAACACGCTTTAATAAAATGTACCGCACTAGTATTGAAAGAACTCCACGACTCCATGAAGTGGAATCGAATCTCGCCACAACGTAAGGGACCGTGGTGCTTTACAGCCAACGTCAGTTGAGCGTGGACAATTAGACCCAAGCAAAAAAATAACATTAAAAAGAATTTGTAAAAATATATATTTTATTTTAATGATAGAATACAGTATTGTCATCAGTATGACATAAGCATACCAAGTTTGCAGTCGATACCACATTGGGAAGTGGGTAAAAATTGAGTTACAAGATTTGAGGATACAACAATAGACAGAGTTAATAAAAAGCGTGTAATAATAATAATAAAAAACTTAAATTATTTATTACACAACGCAACGACCGCACCCACCGCCGCCTGGCGGTTCAAAACTGCGGCGGCACTGATTGTGTACGCGCATTGAATGAACTCTGCTGAAAGTATGCGCTCCCCCAGAAGGTCCGTGTGGCTGATGGGATGTGTCAAACACACTTCAAACCGGTAGATGGAGGGAGCGATGTATGGACAAGGTTGGCGTATTGCCTGCTGAGTTATGTTGTAACGTTACACGCAAAGAAGACGATGCCTCTCTAACTGACAGCGGAATTTGCTTCGAAGCGATCTCTGTGCGCGCGTGAACTCCGCACCGTGTAACCACGACGCGTAAACACGCGCACACAACGTGGAAACAAAGATCAAATATATTTTTTATTTAATGCTTTCGTGACTGCAGGGATTCATATTCTTGGTTCTTTCGGTAAAGTCACGTAGAAGGGAAACAATAAAATAATAAAAATATTTAAAAAATAAAATTCTCACGACGTTTCGACTGCAACACAAGCAATCATCATCAGGTGTGAAAACCTTCACACGTCGTGAGAATTTTATTTTTTATATTTTTATTATTTTATTGTTTCCCTTCTACGTGACTTTACAGAAAGAACCAAGAATATAAAGATAAAAGATCCCCCGTGTAGCCTTAACAGACTGTAGGGGCAAGTGCTGTTAGCGAGCACCTATGAAGGCCGGCACGGCACACGAGGGGGTGAGTGGCCAGCACCACGCCCGGACGCCTTTGTCTCCCCAGTGGCGATGTTTACACACTGCACCAGGTACTCATTTGAGGCTGCGTCGACCGAGGTGAGGCCCAGGACCGGTTCAAGTAATCGTCACTGGTGTTGCCGTGAGCGGGAATCAAAGCGCAGCGTGCTAACCGCTACACTTACCCCTCGCCCCACGTGGAAACACACACACATGTCAACGCACACACGTGTAAACACGTAAACAGCAAAAACAGCAGCCATTCGCCACTAAGTGCAGGTGAGGTCACCACGGCGCTTGTGCCAGGCTAGCTGCACTTTGAGGCCACGTGAAGTGTCGAAGGCTCACTGACAGGTCACGGGACAGACCCAGGTGCCATGGCTTTGACTGATTGAGATCACTGGCAGATGAATCGTCACCCGTGCCTCCCCACTGTGCCAACCTAGCCGTTTTCATTTCAACAAGTTGGGGCCTCTGTGCAAACACAGCACAGTATACAACGCATCACTCGGTAATGTCGGCATGAACAAACGTAACATGTTGAAGCAAGTCTGAAAGACCCGTTATGCTGTTAATTCAAAGTTATTTTATGGAGTCACAGTTGTTGTGTTCTTCATGAGCATTCTGAAAACAACCTCCTCCCTTCCCCCAGGACAGGTGCCGGCAAACCAAAAAAGTAACAAGCAAAGAGACGAGAATTCAAGAAACCTGAAAAAACATTATGTGAAGCACAACCAGTCAGGCCAACAACACAGTTAGACACTTCCTGGCGGACCACGAATTTCAGAAGAGTGAACACGAAATTTAACACTCTTCTGAAATTCGTGGTCCGCCAGGAAGTGTCTGTGTTGTTGGCCTGACTGGTTGTGCTTCACATAATGTTTTTTCAGGTTTGTTGAATTCTCGTCTCTCATCTTTTTGTTGTATTTACCTCCGTGATTTGTTCTTGACACCTGATGAAGATCGCTTGCGTTGTGATCAAAACATCGTGATTGTTTTTTGTGTTAATATAATTTTATTGTATTTCTACATACGTGACTTTACCGAAAAAACCAATGAGTCGTTCGTTATAGTTTAAGTTTCTATTTAAATTGTTTAGACTATCGCCCGACTATTTTACGTAGGAAGATCCGTGGTGTGTGGGCGCTGGGGTGGCTAGGAGATGTTAACTACCTCGCCTGGTATGGGGCCGTCCATAAATGACGTCACGCACCTGGGGGGGGGGGGTGGGGGTCAGACATTTGTGACGACGTGTGACGAGGGGGGGGGGTGAGAAATGTGACGTCACGTTAAAATGCGCAACTTTAAATAAATATAGACAACACGTTCTACTTTATTACATATACTTATTAATAAATGTTTTCTCCTACAACATCAGAGTGCAGCGCCACATTAAATACGCACTACAATGACAATAGTTTAAAGCGATTTGAAGCATGTTTTAGTTGTTGGGGGGTCTGACTTTTTGTAACACCGTGGTGCTAGGGGGGGGTCAAAAATCACCCAAAATCGCGTGACGTCATTCATGGACGGCCCCTAAGATCACTGCTACATTGTTTTTATAACTTTATTTGGAAACCTGCCTCCGAGTCGTCATTCACCACACAACATATTCATAATGGACCCCAAGCGTGGTGATAGTGTTTATTTATTTATGTTTTGTTTACTTATTCTTACGTTTATTTTTGTTTCTTTTATTTCTGTTTAGTTAGGTTTCGCACGTACGTGTTATATATTTACTGTCGTTATTTGCATGTGCGTTTTTCGCCTTCCAAAATAAATGTGCAAGCTAAATATAAAGGCTCTGTTTTTACATTCGTCCATGTTCTGGTCCCTCACCAGACGAAAGTGCAAGGTGTTCCTGTACCTGGTGGGCTGTGTAAACACCGCCACTAGGGGGAGACAAAGGCGGCCGGGCGTGGTGCTGACCACCCACTCCCTTCGTGTGCCGTGCCGGCCTTCATCGGCGGTGCTTGCTAGCAGCACTTGCCACAACAGCCTGTTTTGGGGATACGTGGGATCGTCGTTGTGTGCGTGTCTGTGTCTGTGTGCGTGTCTGTGTGTGTGTCTGTGTGCAATTGGGAGGTGGTCCCCCTTCCAACAAGCAAGTCAACGTCAGGACTTAATGTTTCATTGACTTTTCAGTATTATTGAGTTTCACAATGCTTACCTTTTTGTGAACTTTAACATATTTTGTAAAACTGTCCTATATGTACATTTAAATATTGTAGGTACATGATTACAACTTACGAACAGTTCCGGATGCGAACGGGTCTGACGAACGGAACCAGTACATGTCAATAACCGTCCCGTGCAGTAATTTAGCACTTAATTAGCTAGTAGTCACATCACAAATTCAATGTCAAAATCAAACTAAGAATGGGGGAAAAAATGTCAAAAAGAGCAATGTAAAAATATGTTATGAGTTAACATAGCAGAATCACAAAAATAAACAATGCCAATAATTTACTATCAGATGCCTATACAGAGTGCTTCGCTACGTGAACAAAA